CGGAGGAGGAGGAGGAGGAGGCGGGGGAGGAGGCGGCCGAGGGGGAGGACTGCTGCCCCAAGTGCAAGAAGCGGGTGCAGTTCGCGGACTCGCTGGGGCTGAGCCTGGCCAGCGTGAAGCACTTCAGCGACACCGAGGAGCCGCGGGTGCCGTCCGCAGCGCCGCCCGCCGAGCCGCGCGACCCGCCGGAGCCCGGCGCTGTCCCGGATCCGCCCCGCCAGCCGCCCTCCCTGCGCCTGGAGCCCGACTTCCCCGACGGCGGCGAGCCGAGCGCCGAACTGCTGCGGCGGCAGCGCGTCTGCCTAGAGCGGCTGGGGCGACCCGCGTTGCTCTCCGACGTGCGGGGCACGGTGCGGGCGCTGCGCGGCTCCGGGCCCGGCGAGGTGACGGTGCGCTACACCTTCAACGAGTGGCTCTCCTTCATGGACGTCCCGGCCTCGCCGCTGCCTCCCGCCGCCGCGGACGGCTCCGAGCCGCCGGCCGAGCGCTTCTCGTTCGCCCTGTGCGTGCCGCCCAGCCTACGGGAGGGCTCGGCCCTTCACTTCGCCATCCGCTACCGCGGCGCGCAGGGCGAGCACTGGGACAACAACGACGGCCGCAACTACACGCTGCGCTGCCGCCGCGACCCCGAGGCTGCCGCCGCGCCCCGCGACTGAGCGACGGTCGTGCTGCCGTCGGGGGGAGGTCGGGGCGGCGGCTGAAGGAGCGCTATGGGACGGATCCGCATCGAGAGAACGAGGAGGCTGAGTGGGACCTCGATGCCGCTCCCCGCCCTGCCCGAGGCCCAGAAGGACGTCCGCGGCTGGGGCCCTGCCGAGCATAGGCTGCCTTTGCAGGGGCAGAGGAGCAGTTAAAAATACTGGCTGATAGCGAGTTATCTGGAGAGCTTCGATAACAGCACCCCGCAGTCACGTGCTGTGCGCTGGAAGATGGTGTCTGTCTCGTTCGGTGTGCCTGTGTTGGGGAGAGCGATGACATGGACGGCCTTGTCACAGCACAGTGACAGCGTGGTAGGGAGGGGATCTCGCTAATGAACGAAAGCAAATGCTTTGCTTCAGCTCTCCTTATGTTACGTTTTGCACCACGCTTTCAAGTGCTTTTAATTTATTCAGCTCATTTTGCAACATCTTTTCCAATATTTGTGCGTTGTTGGGTTTGGGCACTTAACCCACAGCCTTTCACTCTTGCACTGCATTGCACTGTGGCACTGCTGTGTCCCAAGTCCTGGCATTTGGCAAAAAAGTACCATTGCGAATGGCTTTGTTAGAATAAAAAGCTTTCAAAAAGCTCACTGACACAAACCTTTTTTTCTGCATCTTCTGTGCAGAAGAACGTGTGTGTTAACCCTAGCCTGTGCCCTGCAGAGGCAGCTCATGCAGAGCTGTGGTGAAAGGAAGCTCTGCTCTCACAGGGTTCTGTAGAAGATGTGATGGCTGCTCTGCAGCTTGACTTGTATTATTTTAGTGCTATTATTATTTTTTTCATGATGAAAAAACAGATAAGGTTTTATCTGGGTGCAGAAAATGCTTTGGCATATATCCTATACCTGAAATGAGTCTTCAGCTAAGCTGCCTTTTCTGCAAGCTGGTGCAGAGCTGTTGTGCACTGCTAGGTTACAGGACATGGAATAACGCAGTGTGCATTAGCTACTGATAGTTGTACCAATGAAATAACATGCTCTTAAGCTGATATGTGATGCCAATTGAGATAGATGGATTGTTCTTTTCAGTACAGTGTAACATCTCAGACTTGTGCAGTGCATTCCTTATCTGTGTTTTGTTCATGAATTGCTCCAGAGAAGAAGTTTCATCAATGAAGGATGGGCTGGGGGATGTCTCCTAAAACAGAAGGCAGCAGTAGCTCTGATGCCTGCATCTGAGCAGAGCTGTGGGGCTGCCACATAGAAGAATTGTAGCTGTAGTCTGCAGTTATGTGTAGAGGGTGAGAAACATTTTCTGCTGTTCTGTAAGCTATGGATAACGGATGTGAAACATCCAGAAAGTGTAACATTTATGTGTAGTCTGAAATTCAAAATGCAGGGGTAAAAAAATCCTGCAAATGATGATTAAAGCAGAACATTTTTATGCCTTGGCAACAAGTAAAATGCTTTAATTTCTTACACAATTCACTTGTTGTGAAAGAGGAAACTTCTCACAGACGGGACTCAAACATAACCACTTTTTAATATGCAAAATGATTTTTTCCCCCTGTATTTTAGTGTTGCAGGCTGTGGAGACACAAGGCCACACTGTTACATGGGTACATAGGACATGTGTGTACCAAACGCTGGCATCCCAGAACCAACATGGCACAGGGTTGGTGTTTGTGGTCATAGCTTGAGATTCATTGCTTTTTCCGTCACTATCAAGGAAATATATTCAAATTGAATTAGTTCTAATTATATAAAATGAGAAAGTCCAGTAGAATCAAATGTTAAGTGAAACGCTTCTTGTTTGGTTACATTACTGTTAATATAATATTCTATAGGGCTTGGGGGCATAACTTGTGCAGAACGTGCTCATAAACACATTCCCCACCCCAATGTGAGAAATAAAAAGTAATACAGATTTGGTAGCACTCTTGGATAAAATCCAGCTGTAAAGACTTCCAATTCATGCAGATTTCTTCTTTTCTTTTTCCCATGGACTAAGCGCATAACGGAGAAATAGATGTAAAAGTTTTTTTTATAGGTGTAAATAAGATAAATAGTAAATAGTTGAATCTCTATATTGGGTTACTATGAAGGACGTCAAAGTTACATCTTAAGTGGGTGTTTTTTATTTTGCAGTTTATAACCATGTTTATATTCAGATTGAAATCAGAAAGGACTGAAGTTCAATTTGCTATGGAGCCCTGAAGCACTACAAACTTGCATGCAGGCTGCTTCTGTTTCACTTGAAGCTTTCAATCAGAGCTTGAAAGTGAGGCGTCTGCTCCCATTGACTTCCTGGGATCTGGATCCATCCCAGGTACTGCACAAAGACAGGGGAAATGATTGAGGTTTAATTGTCTGTTACGTGGCACTGTGATGAATGTTCGTCTGTGAGAGCTCAAAACCTGCCATCTAGGCCTGGCAGTAATTAAATCACCTTAATTGTTTTTATGATTCTTTCTAAGAGAGGAAAATTACTTGCCTTGCATTAGCATATTTCCAAAGGCTGATATAAATATTTATGTGGTGCACTCTTTTAGTAGCAAGCCCGTGCATTCTTCACAGGTCTCCACAGTTCTCTTCTGAATGTAGAACAGTCGTATGAATGCACTGCTTACATCACTTCCTCACACCCCTTGTGAAGCTTCAGTAGTTAATGGGCTTAACGCTAAGAAAAAAAAGGAGAGTGGTTTAGAAAGAAGCATCTCTTACATTAACGATGCTCTGTGTCACCTGCGGGGTTCTTCAGAGGTGCATATGTCTGTGAAACAGGATTGAGAGCTCCTGATTTTTAACTCTTGCAATTGTAGAAAATATACAGCATTGGAGGAATGACTGCTTTCTCTCTTTTTTTCTGCTTCCGTATGAAGGGCTCATGCGCATGCTTTACTTTCTACAATACTGAAGTAAAAATAAAAACTCATGAGAAAAAAGAACAACACACCTTCAATCTTTCTTATAGATGTCATCAATCAAAACATTGCTAAGAGTATGAAATAGTTTTGGCCGTGTTAAGAACCAGGAGCGAAGCAATGAGTACGCTCATGACTTCAGTAATGCCAGGAGTTCACTGTAGATCATTACGAGATCATGGAACCCTTAGAGTTTGAAGGGACCCTTACAGGCCATGTAGTCCAACTCCCCTGCAATGAACAGGGGCATCACAGCTACATCAGGTTGCTCAGAGCCCTGTCCAGCCTGGAAAACAGTCAACGTACAGCTCCTTTCTGACTCTTTATATACATACCCTTACTGAATCTATCTAGAGAGATGCATTTCTGTTGCCTTACAGGGAGTAAGTTGAGGGGGCAGAGTTTCTCCATAGAAATATTCTTTCTTCTACCTGCTGATGTTAGAAGATACAACTGATGCTTCTAATGCTTGGAAACATGGTGAAATTTCACACAGAACTTTCTACAGATGTGAGTTGTAGGTTAAAATTCTTCTTGGTCTGCTTCACTACTGGATATAAAGTATTCACGTGCTACTCCAGGTTGCTTTACTTCAGGAAGGCTTTTTCTCCAACATACGTAGGCATTGTGAAACTGGGCTTTCAACTGGGGTAAAATGCAGCGAGCAGTGGGAACACAGCAGACAGGCTTTTCCTTTTGACAGTTACTCATGTTGAAGGAGTGTTCTTTCTTTTTCTTTCTTTCAGAGAGCTGTTTCCAGGTTTATACTGTAAAATTCATCACAAATCACTTTTGGAGATTAATAGTTTGTTAAAATGATCAGGGAGAAACTTCAATTTTTTAATACAATACAAGCAAACTTGTTTTGATAAAACATTGCAGCTTTAGTAGATACTTAGCAAGCTGCCTTTTAAAATAAAATATATACCTTCTATAATAGTGGACATATACATCATGGAACCATTCCTTTGCATTTTATCACTTCCCACCACTTACACTGATTTGGCAAAATCCAGCAATACTGACAGGCGCCAAGAAAGATTTCCTGAGTACTGAACTGTAAATACTGCTGGTGGAGCACAGAAGGTGCAGCAGGAAGAAGACAGGAATTACCAGGATGGACCAAAGTGCCAGCTCCAGAATGCAGTCTCCATCAGTGACAACAAGTGCAAGCTTTGCAGAGTAAGAAGAGGGAACTTGCCCCAGCCTGCAACTATTTCTGTTCTGTACTTGCTAAGCCAGGTGTGGCTTCTAAGAATTTTCCTTCCATACTTCTTAGGATTTCAACAAGAAAGAATTTGATAAGCTATGTTTTTATACAGAACTAAGTATACTATGAGAAAAACTTATAACAGACTTCAGGCAAGGACAGAATCGTATTTCTAGGTGTCTTCCAATCCTGTACAACTAATAGGCACATAACTGATACTAATGCAGAGTGCACTGTGTGTGTGTTGATGAGCAAAGAAGTCATGCAGGTCTGACCAAAATAGGGAACAGATTTCTAAAATGTTCTAATAGTGTAGGATTTAAGGAGTAAACACTAACATCCTCACTAGCTTTGCATTCCTGTTTACAAGTTAATACAACACAGGCTTCTGGTCCTGAACAGCAGAAGTTTCTTAATAAGTGCTGTATATATACTTTATAGTAAACTCATGGTTAATATGGAGTTAAGAACTGATTTTTCCTTGACTTGAGAAAGTGAGCTGTCTTAACTTGTGCACTACAGATCAGGGAGACGGGGAAATTACAAGGCTTGAATTTAATTTATGTCTTTCTAGATGGGTTTCTGTAGAATGCATCCTGAAGATAACTAGTGCACCTTTGCAAGTAATAGTGGCTAGGAGACAACCTGGTTGGCAATGCTGAAACAAAAAGTAAGGAACAGGTGGCACAAATTAGGAGTGCAGCAGCAATTTATCCACCACCAAAACTTAACAGAAGAATTTTCAGGCATTAAAGCATGGAAGTGATCTCCATAATGTTAAGGCAATTTTATAATGACAATTGCACTTTTATGACAAGGTGCAACATCTACAGTTGTACTCCTCGTGGAAATTGCATCCTAAAGGCCTTCACAGGACAGGCA